CCCGCCCGAACAACGCACACACAATTATTATTAATTACTGATGTAAGATAATAATAATATTAATATAATGTACAATGAAGCGCGTACCTACTATATAATACCTAAACACAACGACTCGAGATGCGATTTTGTGCGATGTACTCATAATATACAAACTGGTCGATCGTGAAGCATACATTACAACTACTACTACTAATAATAATAATATATGTATAATAAGTAATGCGCATAATATTATGTATTTCAGATATCGGTTCGTATCCACAAATGTTAGATGTGTGAATATAATATATTTACACGTCGGTACAGTTGTACACTGTGATATTGTGCACAAGATGAAAGACAGTTTGTTTTCGAAGAAAAATTTTAAATTTCCGGCGATTACTCTTCGGGGGAAATTCAATAATCATCTTCGAATCACACGCCGTTAAACGATGTGCATTAACCATATTATATTGTACTGACGTATGACGCGAGACTCGAGTGGGCCGGGCCGGGTTATATTATTATTATTGAGTGTAAACTGCAGAAATTGTTTTCTCGACAATAATATACGACATGATATTACTATTTTGATGATTGCGTCAATATTTGGAGGAAGTATATACACAATAACTCATACACTGGACAGTGGATAATACTGCAGTTATTATTTATATAGCTGCATAAATCACGACGAAATCACTTTCTCGGCATAACCTTATCCACTCGTCCGATTGAGAATGTTTGAAAAAAAAAAAAATACTAATCGCGACAAAAAATAATCCAAATTGATATCTCACCATGTCTCACTCTCTTAATCACTCTCTCTCTCTCTCTCTCTCTCTCTCTATTCCATACCGATACGGACAGTAAAATTGTCAAAACATTTTCTGGTCATATACACATGTGTACATAATATAGGTACATATAAAGCATGTAATATACTGTGTATGGCAATATAGTCGTCGTTATTATTTACGCGCTAACGTTTCTTCATTCCGCCGCGTGCGCACGAGACGTATAATTATTTCCGAATCAAACGAACCATCTAATGGGCCGCCATTGCCCCCGAGGGCACCCGGAGTTTTACACGTCGGTCGTATATACATATACATTTTTTTTCCATCGAAAATTACCATAATCGCTCCGTGCCCCGGAACTTTTAAAGGACGCGTCGAACGGGAAAAAATCTCCAAGAGAAAAAAAATACCGGAGGACACGCGGATTCAGAAAATCGTCCAAAACTTCAAAGTTCGAGATATCTCGGCGGCGGTGGGTGTAGGTTGCTGCGCAGTGTTTCGGGCGTGATTGAAAGAATATCAAACGACGATAGAAACAATCGTACTTTATTCCTCGTAGCAGAGTACAATAATAATAAAATATTGTATTGACACGTCGTAATATCATGTACTCTGCGCACAGGACTACAACAGTCAATATACATGGCAACAATTTGTACGTATAATATAAGCGTTACAATAGTTTAATTAAAACACGCCGCTGCATATGTAACTCGACCGAAAATTTATTACAGTTGGCCCCAAATAGTATTCATATATATATATTATGTACTATTAAATAGGTATTTCTGTATATATATATATATATATATTTATATACCTAACGCGATTTCATCTGATTGCGGCACTTACTCGCCTAAGTACGCCCAGCTTGTACATTCATATGTATATGCATTATACTCGCGTATTTGCATAATACATAATATATAACAATAACACAGACGAACCCTAATCCGCGGATGGGCCTGTGTTTAACCTATGCGATAAAAAAAAACATCGCCGCAGTGTACGCACCTAATGTAGGTATAAAATATACATTTTGTCACGAAAAACAAATATTCTATTAATACGATGTATAAAAATCGCAATAGTAAATACAAATATCGCGAACAATTTTTATCATGCCGCAGTTTGTTTGAATAGCCTTATGAATTCGAATCGCCGCAGAATATAATATAGACGTGCCATATAGACAGAATCATTATAGACGATGGTTTACCGAACGTCGATAATAATAATAATAATAATAGAATGAACTTCTTAGTTTTGTAATATTATATTTTGTCAAGATAATTTATTACAAATAAATATAATGTATAATGTATATATAATAATATTACGGTATATATATATTACGTTATACGCATCGCAGAGTTTGCGTATATCGTCCGAAAAACATTTAAGTTTATTCCCCTTCCTTTATTTCCTTCCTAAACTGTAAAAGTTACTCCTCAAGAAATACAAGAAAGTGAATTGCAAGTCGTTGTCGCTTTTTTTTTTTGTAAAATTACCATTTGCGCAGTAAACTAAATATCATAGTGTCGTTGAAAACGGCGGTAATTATTTATGAATACATCACAATGTTATTATAAGACTATAATACAGATTCAAATCGATCGTTACGCGTTATTATAATAGACTTGCTTTCGTTATTATTATTCATCGAATATAAAAATACGCATACTAAATTGAAACATAATAAACCACATTAGTGTTTAAAAAAGTCACTGGAGACCGTCGGAGCATTAAATCGTGCAGATAGTTGCTCGGACGATACAATCATCGATTATCTCGTGAGGATATCTGCAGCAGTAGACCACGGTCTGTACTTAATCGTTCGTATATCGCATATATAATACGCTGTAATGTTGTATATTATATGCATGTTGATATCCTACACGATCGATAACGATTTAAAGATAAAACATGAGTCACTTGTATGGTATAATATATCCCTATAATGTGTGCGTCCGATGCACAAGCCGCAGCATAAAAACTAGGTGCAGTTTTAAGCGATTTCACCGTCGCTATATATTATAATAATAATATATTATGTAATAATATTGATACGTACGATTTAATATTAAATTTATTTTACATCGATAAGTCATATACGATATTTATACCTATTTAGAATAATAATTACTGTAGATCAATAAATGAGTAAGTACCAACATCTGTATTCTATATAATATATTTTAACAAACATTATTTTTTTTCGAATCCGCGAAAAATATTTCATAACGATAATCACTGCAGTTCATTTTCGATTACATTTCAACACTGTATATTAATATTTTTCGCCGTTTTCTTTGATTCTTGTTAGGTATATAAAGTCATTAAATACAGAATATCCAACCTAACCACCAATCCAGTACTTATGGGTAGGTACTAAAAAAAACAATTGTTATTTTCTCAAAACCGTGGTAGGTAAAATAATAAATTAAACAATTAATCAACTCTCAACTCCTAATCCCTATTAACGGAGTATTACACAGTAAATAATTCTATATGGGGCCGTCCGAGAAACCAATTGTGTTACTTTTCGGGATTTCTCGAATGTAATTACTCTCTTTCTAGGATTTCAAAGTTGAAAGTATAGAGTACATATATATATATATATAACATGTGTATTATGTGTAGCATATAGTAGAGGGTTGTCAGACAATAAGTCACGTAACGTGTAAGGGGGGGGGGGTCAGAGATCCGGGACGAAGTTTGTTGTTTCGGGTATGCCTTGCTGAGAGCTCCGATAGTTCAAATCGATGTTAAATTTTCAACTAAGTACATCGAGTCGGCTGTTATTGACGTTTCATCGCAAATTCGCTGTCGGATGACAACTGGATCAGACACACAACACCACTAAGGAAAATCCTGGAATACGAGGGACTAAAATCCTAAAAACCAGACCGACTTCGAACAGCAAGTTTGTTTGTAAGAGCTGCAGACATTAAAACTCAGCATAATTATAGTGCGAACTGAAAAATATTCGGTGCTTGTAAAATGTTGAATATCCGAAATCCGGATTTATACATATTTTATTAACACTTTTATCTAATCGAGTATTTACGTGGTTTCTGAACTCATTTTATTCACGGTTCAAATCATAGTTACTAGCCATTAAAAAAAAAGTTTAATACCTAGCACTCAAACACATGCTTTGTAAAAGGGTCTTATAAGTTATAATAACCATGAATTAGAACCTAATATTAAATAAAATCATTAAATATATACACAAACGATGATCGATGTGTACCAAATACATAATATTTTTGTAATGGTAAAAAGCCCAAAAAAAAAAGTGAGGAATTAAGCTAATAAGATACAAAAAAAGTAAATATGAAATATGAAATATGTTAAAAATTAATAGAATGACTTAATATGGATGAAGATAAAAATTTCGTACAAAAAAAATAAATATTAAAATCGTAAATTTTCAAAACATGACCAGTATTATTAGTATTAATAATAAAAATAAAAATCTATTTATACCAAAAATTGGAAAACAAAATACAAAACATGTACCTAAATCTGTGCTTCTTTATATCAAGCAACACCTTTATAACTTACCTATTCATATATTATATATTATATATTATTCATATATCTTATCATTGTGTAAAATAAAGATGCAAACGCTACAGTATCTTTATCACTGGACTTCCTAATAACCTTAAACTAGTAGGTTATCAATAACATATATGCCTAGGATTTATGTAAATATAATATAGTAAAATATTATGCTAAAATATTCAATGAATTTAGCAACATTTACCGAACTATCATTAAGTGAAAGTGAAGCATCTTCTAATTTTAAAATGTACCTATATATTGAATGAATAGTTACTTTTTATGACCTACCTAGCTAATTCATTTGTGTATGTATTCATTTCAAATAAACCCATGGAATTTTTAATACAATTTTACTAGTTTTTCGTTTAAGTGAAAAATCACAGATTCGATGAAATTATGTAACATGGAAGACACTGGACATCTAGCATCTACGTTACATTATTTTGAATATGCCACAATACAATGTGCATTTTACTCGTTTCTATAGTTGTTATAAAATGCAATATTACGCGATAATATACAAGAATATTGCATTGTACTCAAAACATATTTTGTTACAAGTACCAAGTCGGGTTGGACGAGAGTTTTTTTATAAATCTAGGTACCTATAGGTAATATATTATATTATGTTATAGGTGTGCGAAGCTAACCTGCCGATCCGAAAGAGGCGTGAGGGAAATTGCGCGCGACAATCGGAAGCATGACGCCGGAAGACATGTGCAGCCCTTGATTGAGGACGTGCACAGCAAACGACACGGCCACGACAATCCATCCCCATCCACCTTCCGGGTAGTAGTGCTGCTTGAGGGTGGGAACTTCAGTTTTGACCACCACCGGGCACAGGACTTCGCTGCAACTGGGCAGGTCGCTGCATGTCGCCAGCCCCGAGTCCAAGTCTGCTTCCATGTGTGCCATTCTGTCGTAACTGCACGATCACTGCCGTTGTTTATATCACTATATTATATACCACCGTCGTTGTTGGTCGGTCGGTCGGTCAGCCGATCGGTCGCCACTAGTCCGCCACTGATTCTGCGTGGCGGCCGACTATGCGGGCCGTTCGTTTTCGTCACCACTGCCGCCACCGCCCCTGCAGCTGTCGCTGTACGACGACCGACTGCAATACGGATCCATAGTGATTACCGGCGATACGGTGGGGGGGGGGGAGGGACGAGGGATACACAATTAAGTATATTATGAAGAATGAAAAAATGTAAGGCATAAAAAAAAAATTCTCAAAGTAAAACAAGTGTCTATATGAAAACGCGAACAATTTTCGAAATCAAACGATCGAATTTCGATTATAATATTAGTATTATAGGTCAGCTTATATCGCGATTGTTTACAGTTACATCTAATCGTTCTTCGACGCACGTGAGTTATTGAAATGCATGTTTTTTTTATTTTCCATATTATAGTAATTTCTTACGGGGTTTTTTTTTTGTATGCCATAAATTTCTTCAATAATATTTGTTCAAGGTTAGTATACAAACCATCATCTAGAATGGTCATAATAATTTATATTTATAAAATAAATATAGAGTTCGTTCTAGCCGACTGTTAAATATAGGTGTGACGTGTGCACGACCCGAATGCTATGAAACTTGGGGATTGATCTGTTTTCAACTAACCGAATTTATGAATCAAAAGAAACCCGACCCGGGAGGCGTGTATATTGAATCGCAATTATTGTTATCCTCCTGCGCCCCAACCTGAGTGGTCATCGTTACATCCGCTAAACCTGTTTATCGGTTTTTTACACGTTATTTATTATGTACGAGGCTGCTCTTCAAAACAAAAAAAATTTAACGAATTAACTCATCATAGCTTAAATACAGGGTAGACACAGTATCGACATGATTTTTCTAGAACAACAACGAATATATCATACAGCAATGAAATACATAAAAATAATAGACTATCTATATTATATTATTATTTACCCAAAACCTTGATAAAATTAACTATTTATCATGCCTAAAAGTTCATTTCAGAATACCTAAAGGTACTTCTACACTATATAGGCATGGTAATGGAAAGTTAGCATCACCTTGATCATATCATGTTTTTTTAACGTTTGTTTGATACTTACATTACGAACAACACATCGGATTTCTCTTTTATATGATACAGTGAATTTATTATTTAAACAAGAAAATATGCATTAAAATTATAATGTAAATATTAAATACAAAATTAATTTAAAATTATTGATCGTGATTTTCTTTAAGAAAAATTTCAGATATAATACTATTTAAAAGTAATATAGGTACCTAATATGTTTAAATCAGCTATTATAACATTAATAACTTAATGATGAAGATATTTAAAATAAAATTAAGAATCTGTTAACAAATTACACGATTTCAAAACGAGCTTGTAAAAGTATACAGGCCCGGTAAAAGATGAAAATTAACAAACGTTCCTATTGAAAAAATAACACTGTAACATGATATATTCAAAAACTCTTTACTCGGTCAAATTTGGCGTTACGGTTTCGAATGTAACGAAAAATGGGACCCGGTTTTCGTGGTGAGACGATTGAAAAAAAAAATAAAAAAATATTGGCCATCGGTTTGACGGTGATCTAGAAAGAACGAACGGCGAAGAAATGAAACCGGATTTGAGTTGGAATATGACCCGAACGAATTAAGTCGAAAACGTAAAAATCCCGAGGTGGGTGCCTATATCAAAATCGGTTTCGAAACCGCAGCAGACGGTATGGCGTGCACACGCCATCGACAGACACCACGTCCTATGATATTATTATGAAGACGAAACAATGCCGAATATTGTCTGCGAATTACCTCATGGACGCGGAAGCTGTGCCCGCTGCGCCTGTATAGCTGACAACTGGTAATTTTCGGCACTAGATCGAAATATTGTAATAGTTTTTCTTCCGAAATCGCGCGATCAGATGTTAAAACCTTAACGGCTCTCGCTCACGTGTCATCCTCAGATATCGCTATCTTATACGTAGGTGTATATACATATATATATATATATAATACAATAGGTATATACTATATATGTATATAAAACAGTGCAAAGAAGAAAAACGACGACGGCACACCGTGACGAGTGTAAAAAATGTCCACCGCGGACGCGCACTGGTGACCGTCAGGGCGAACGCGACGGCAGTGTAATCGAGACTGGAGTGTTGCTCACTGGTTGCGAGCTTCGAACGGCGGCGGCGGCGGCGGCTGCGATCGCGGCGGCCGCGACGGCGGCACAACCCTCCCTCACCATCGCGGCATGGTGGGCATTATAATAATAATAATAATAATAATAATAATAATAATAATAATAATAAAATAATAATAATAATAAAATGATAAGTATCATGGTTTTATACGAGCTTGATTCATGTTGGATGGGGAGTGGCCAAGTGTGTGATAATTAATTTAATTATTAATTATCGGGTGTCTCGGTCTTGCATCGTGTCTCCGAATCAGTGAGATGTAATATTATTTGAACGGACAGGAGGGTTGGGGGCGTGCCTTCCACGATTCAGATTATTAAATTGATTTTTTTCAATACCTAGTAATAAAATCAATTTTTAATTTTATTTACAATGCTTATTCGACAATTAAAAAAAAAACCTAGGCTCAACCGTGGGGGGATGCACCCATATCTACAAAACCCACTAAAATACGACACTGCCTCGAGTGTGCGTGCGAGTGTGTTTAATACTTTAATGTTACAATAATAATGTGTATGTGCAGTGTTTATCATAATAATATTATAATATTGTGTTATGGCTATTGTGTGTATGTGCGTGAGTGTAATGATATGCGTCACGAAACGTTTTTCTGGTTTTTATGTTTTCACGATTTGGCGCTTTAACCGTGGCACGGGGGCCAAGTGCGTGGAGGCACCACGCGCAGACTTAAGAAGTCAAAGTTCAAAGTTGGTTAATGCAATATTATGCCGAAGACACGTCGAGAGCTGCGATTTGGCCCGACCGCGAGTAGGTCGCTTGGAAGTCCGTCATGATAATTCGTAATAGTAGATAATAACGGCCGCTGATAACATTCACTCGAATAGGTATAACCTATTATAGTTGTTTTGTAGTTATGACAGCTTTGCGAATCCAACATTAAGTACACATAAATGTGGTTAAAACTTAAATTATTGATAACTCTGATACCATTATACCAATAATATATGCATTACAATAATACAATATGTTCTTCTAAACGTTATAAACGATACTATATAATATAATAATATGACTGTTAGCCAAAAACTAAACCACAGTGGTGAGAATTGGCTAACAAATGGTTATATAGTTAATAATCGTAAATTATAATAGTTTTGAGGTATATTCAACATAAATAGGTACCGTCGCCATTAATTATTATTATGATATTATAGCATGGTTATTTGGCATAAAATCAATCTCAACGTGCGCATATTGCAACTGTGCCGTTATAATAATATATCGGTACTATAATTATGTTACTTTTTCAATGTCATCGTGATATCATGAATAGGTATTACTCATATACGCAACCAGAGACGGATACAAAAAGAGGTCTATAAAAAGGCCTTCTATAAGGCCTTCTCACACTTTATGTGTAAGGGCTGAAGAACTGCCTCGATATACTATTTTGAAGATTTATATTCGTTTATATAAGTGCATATTTATAAAAAAGGTGTACGTAGGTAGTTGTAATACTTTATAGTCATTCAAATTACCTACCCACTTAATGTTATATTAATTATGGTTCATCACTTTTTAAGCCCATAAGTATTTCATTTATTTATAACTATCAACATGTATATGACTAAATATTTTGTATATCTAGATCACCTCTTTTTTTCATTACCTACTAAGATCCATCCCGCGATATTCAACGTATCATACGACCATGACTCAAGTGACACATTATAGAAAATAATTTATAAATAGTTCAATAAATTATGTTTACAGTATAATCGTGTATAATAATAGATATACCCACAACCCACTGTTTACACAAAATATTTAAAGACTTAGATACATTATATACTTTTTAGGATGAATGCACTTTTGCAGTAAATACCGAAACTGTAATATGATAGAAAGGAAAAAATAAATATTATTATCTTCAATCGCGTTTGTAATATCGTAATAATTATCAGTATTATAATCAAATATTAGTCAATAAAGAAAGATAATATTATGTACAATTATAATTCGCCAGTCACCAATACCATAACATTTTATAACACCTATTCATTAAGTTTTAATATTTTACTTTGAATATAAACACGAAAGTCACGCATTGAAAATCTATGATGGATATATGACTGGAATAGGAAGTCCACTTAATTTTTTATGAAATCGTTTGTTTGGATATACCGTATACAATTGTATAATAGAGTACCAGGTGATAATCAATGGTATGATTATTAGTATAAAATATGTTGTTCTCGATCAAACTGCATAAGATTAATTTGTGCAATATTATATCTGAAAATAATACCAAAGACTAAATAGAAATGTACAATTTAATTCCCTGTCAATAACAACATGTATTAAAGTAATAAATTACGACTGGAATTTTTTAGAATATCGAAAATAATATTATGTGATATAGGACTGTCAATAGGTTTAATTTATTTATATTAAAACTATACCTTTAAATATCTGAAAATCTTTCATGTATTTACCAATTGCCTCACTTCAGAATATTATGAGACTATTTTGTCGTAGGTATACAAAACAATAGGTACTAATATGTTAAAGATGAAATGTTAATTATTGTTGACTGTATTTAAATTAGACACTGACCGTAACGAACTTTAACCCCGAGGTTAAAGGTCCCAAATGGGGCATGTGCGTGTACGGCCATCAGAAATCCTTATAATTGACGCCAAAAACAACAAGGTAATAAATAGCGGATAATAATAAAAACCAAAAATTATAAAGC